GATCGCTCAATATCGAATCGACTCGACGTTGAATAAAAAAAGACCGAAATCAAAGGACCGCATTTGGCGATAATTGTGATGTTTTTTTTTTTACAACAGAGAAAATCCCAGCCCAGGTCACGGTATTTCGCGAGGTTTATTTTATAAATTGCAATTTGTTTCGAAAATTGTTCGCGTCGCCTAAAAAGTGCGCGCGCGTGCATCGCAAAAATTGCAGTTTTCACACGGGTGTCCGAAATGCCGATAGCGCCACGCGAACTGAATATCTCGAAACGCGAAACACGGCCCCATCTGTGTGGGTTAAAAGCGACGTGTGTTTTTAAATTAAGGCACGCGCGTACAAACGACACATTAGCCTTTGACATTAAATACATTAACATACGGTAAACGCTTTTGAATTATCCATTACGCGTTTGAACGCGCCATCGTCGGAAACAAATGAAGCCGGAGAATTGCTTTATTTTGCACGTCGCCTCCTATCAACCGTCGCGGGGACCTTAGGGGGGAAAGAGGGAAGGAAATTTTAATCGATGAAACTTTTTTTCCCCCCGTAACATAAATCGCACGTCGGAGGGACTTTTGTTCTTACGAAGAACAACCGTAACTTTCCGCATCTGGGAAAAGCTTAGAAGCAACAGCGCGCACTTTATGGATTTCAACAACTTCGACGGTCTCATATGGAATTCCTATTGACATATCCGTAATGTTAAAGTGGAACGGTGTGCGCTGCACTAAAGCGGAAATGGGAGGTAAAACGGACGGACGTTTGGCTCGCTGAGACTTTGCACGCGCGTGGGGCGCGTTCTCCCTCGCAGAGAACCTTGGTGCTTGCCAAAGCAACACATTGCGTACCTGTTTATCCGGCTCTTTGCCTTTGGCGGTGATGAGTCGATCGCAATAACAGCCTTCCAGCAGAACGACGCCGCTGGGCCGTGAGCAAGTCTCGTTCTCGTAATAGAACAGCAGATTCTGTAACAGACGTTATAGCCGCCTTTGGTGAAGCTCACACTCTCCTTTTGCGAAAACGTGAGAAAACAAGCGTCCGTATAATTTTTTCTGCGCGCTCGCGGACACGGAAAATAATAATGTCGCGACGCTCAGCGTTTCGCGCCTGATTACGCGGAGCCGCGTCGGCGTTCTTTAATTTCGCGGGAGAATAAACATTTCGATAATACAATTGGTGTGTCCGGAATTGAATTCAAGACGACTTGAGTCAACTTAAGCCACGGCGTTGCATCACTCAGTTTCAAGTTTCCATTACTAGGAGTGTGTTCCCATTTCCTCTCGGCATTACTGCCAAGTGCCGCACGCTATTACTGAATCCAGCTTCTGCGAAGATCATTTCCAAATAAAACCACAATATTCTTCGTAATAATATAACAGTTATTCTTTTCTAAAGGCAACTAAATATACCTTTTCTTTGATACCGAATGCTCGAGACTATTGAGAGCACTGTCAGTAGTGCCGAGGGGAAATGGAAACATCCTGGGATTCTACAGGGAACGTCTGACCACATCGCCGACTGTGTCTACTGAAGTACCGCCCCGCTCGCGGCCATGACGCACGTTCTCCGCGTTCTCACGGTAAGAAATTTCAGCGAGGTATTCAAAGAGAATACGGTAATTAAAACTTGGCTTACTCAGGATTGTGTACATACAAAATTTACCTTCGCACATTTCGATTGTATTACAGCACGAACGTATTAAATAAGTAACATTAAATCCGAGTGTTTTTATCTCCTATTACGGAAACAATGGCTCGCATTTGTACGAGCGGAAAACGGATATCATCCCGTTTCAGCTCGGCGTATTAAAATATCGCGCAAATTTATCTGGCGCGTTATTAGAAAATAAACGCTACGAAATAATATCGTCTGGTTTACGTTAAATCAAATTACAGGGCGCGCGTGTGTTGTTGCAAGATTTGCGGAACGAATATTGCAATGGGTACGTGCACTCATTTCATAAAGCCAGTTACGTCCCGGATAATCCGCCGGATAGAATTCGCGTTGCCGATACATGACACCAGCCCGGAACAATTTCGCTTTTGTCGCGACGCTGACATTATCGACAGGCATCCGGACGCGCTGCGATCGGCGGTTTAAATAGTATCGACGAGCAAACGAAATTTTAATTGCCCGTAATATTCGTCTAATTGCACCTGTGCCGCTCCAATTTCAGGTCAACTCGCGCCCGGCGAAATTGCAGAAATTGTTGGCTGCGAATTTACAAAACGGAATGCCGCGTGCTCGCCAAACGTGTACAATGCGATCCCAGCGCCCGTGTTTAGCAATAAAATTTTATGAAACGAACTTACCTTGAGAGGCAAGTTCGCGAGAGAGGGAAAGAAGATACCTCGGAGCATAAATCTTGGATTAACTTAACTTAACTCTCGAAAATTGCATACACGTAATTTGCAAAGCACCATGAAAGGAGATAGAGAGAGAGACCGACAGACAGACAAACAGACAGACAGAGACAGAGAGAGGGGGGGGGGAAGAGGGACAAAGGGAGAGGAAGGCAGGGAGGGAAAAAAGAGGGAGGGGAGGGGAAGGGAGAGGGTGGGGGTAGGAAGAGACAGAGGAACTGAGAGAGAGAGGAGGAAAGAGAGGGAGAGAGAAAAGGGAGAGAGGAAGAGAGGGGAGAAAGAGGGAGAGAGAGGAGGGGAAGGGTAGAGGGAGGGGAAAGAGGGGGAAGGGAAGGAAGGGTGAGGAAGGAGAAGGAACAAGAGAAGGGGAGGAGGAAAAGAGGGAGAGGAAGGGAAGGAGGAAGAGGAAGAGAGAGGAGGGAGGGGGAGGGGGAGAGGAGGAGAGAGGAAAGGAAGGGAGAGAGGAAGAGGGAGAGAGAGAGAAAGGGGTGCAGAGGGGGAGCGATGGAGAGGGAGAGGAGAGGGAGAGGAAAAAGAGGGGAGAAAGGAAAAAGAGAGGGAGGAGATTCTTTTTAGTATAATTGTTTCTAACTTGCGCTCTCCGGGAGGATGTAAGCGCTCTCGCGTGAAATGAAATACAACCCCGAGGTATCCGATTTTCCTAGGTTCACGATAAGTTTGTTAAGCTGCAAGAGCGCGAGCTTGAATCACCTGTATTATCCAGTGGCTTCGAAACATGTTGTCAAGACGCTTGATTGCCGTGCAAAAAGTTTCGATGGAGACCGCGCGACGATATCCTCATTCACTTGACGTACTTTCGCAAACAATGAGGCATTGCCAGACGTTATTTATCACTTTATCCGAGTTCTCGTTTAAACGGAAAAGAGCGCGGGTCCGGGGCGCCTTCCCCATATATTTATCCGATCCTATCAAAGCGAGAGAAGAAAGAGGCAATACCTCTTATATTTATTCGTTCCTACTTATTGCTCTCTAGTACATAAGCTGTTTCAACCTCGGCCTGAGTAAAGTACGCGTGGCAAGTTCCGCGTGCCGTCTCGTAGATTGTTTTTCTTCTAAACTAAAATTAGTTAAGCGGCCGGACGACAAGTTTCCTTTAAAAAAAGTTGAGACTCGTCTCCGATGCGATAACGCGACTTTTAATAGAATAATTAGAAGTTTCGTGTCTGCGCCGTAATTGAACGGCTTCATGATCGAGAAAGCATATAATGAGAAGGTTTACCGCGAGCTTAAGGGATCGCACGATATTAGAACGCAGAAAGAGAGAGAGGGGGGGAGGGGAGGAAGAAAGAAAGTTGCCGAATTCTTGGCATAGATGCTCCTGTGAGGTATCTATTGCGAACTATATCGAAAGTTCCTTCCTTAATTGTATCAGTTAGTTGGCCAGCCGTAAGAGTTAATGAGGCCTCATTTTCGAAGTTTATTAGGCCACGAGCAGACAGCATATCCCCGTGAGCGAAGAACTTTCCGCGAAATCGAGAGGAAGATGCTTTGTACGCGGCGCAAGTTCCCGACTAGATATTGTCGTTGTTTTAATTGAACGGTTATTAATAGTTGAAAATTCCACGTTGGAGCATGACGTCGTTTTATTTAAAATAACGCCAGCTACGGGCTTGAACGATAACTTTCGCGATAACTTTCCCGTCAGGGGGGAACTTCTCGCGGAGAGCTTTGCCGATTAATCTCGGAAAATTACGAGCTGCGTGTGTCGTTGCGAACTAATGTTAATCGCGAAGTTCGATTTTCCGGACTCCTGAGGAGAGAACTGCGTATTCGGGGCTGATAAAAAAAATAGAAGGGATACGAATTCGTTTTTAAATTCGGACTCAGGATACTCAAATTGGATTACGTAAATTGAATTTCTCCGCGCGTGATCGACGACATCGACGTGCAATTCACTGACCTGGTAGAGAACGAACCATCGTTGCTGCCACTTGGTGGAGTCAGCTGTCCGCTTGTACAAGTATCCCGACAGCGAATGATCGTAATGTGCCTTCTCCGAGATCATGATCAGCTGGGAATCATTTACTCTCACTGCAACACATCACCAGAGACGTGATTTTTAAGCGAGGCAATAAAAGCCGCGCACCGCTGTTTCAGCATATTTGAGGAACGCAATGCAAAATGTCAGCGCGCGCAAGTTTCCCGGGTATATTATATTTGTGAAATGAAATTCGTGCGGAGAACAATTCGTTTGCGAGAGAACAAAAAAAAATCCATTTGCAAGTTTTCATGAAAACTTAATAATCAGGCGTTCTATGCAAAATATTGCGGCAAGTAATGAAATTATCTACACATTCTTTGCGACGAGTTCGCGTCTACGAGTTCGCGCCTTACACCGAAACTTTTGCGAGAATGCATATATTAATTACGCGGATACCGATCTACTTGCAAATCAGCGTGACGTGTACAAACGCAAAATTACATCCGAATTGCAAAGTCACACACGGGATGTATCAATCTACACATTTCGCATGGCATAACAATGCGCTGCATCGCGATCACGCATCGAATTATCTCGCTATGCAACCGTTCCAATAATAGCGCTCAAAGTACCGGCGAATCTTGTTTGCCGCATCGCATCAACGTAAATATTAATAATCCGCCGAGAACAAGCCACGATGATAAACAACGGCAGTCCCGCCGTTTATTCGTACAATGAATCGATAATCCGGCGAGTTGCCGTGATTAAAACCGCGTCATTTGAGAAACGAGCTAATGAAATTCCGCGAAGGGCCGACAGCTCGCGGAAAAATTGTCCGCGACCGATCGATCGCCACCGAATGGGAGTTTAATCGGACACTTGGGCGCCCGCGCGCGAATGGCTCGTTCACGTGCGGGGCTACTTTCGAGTAGATTTCAATCTCCGATTTCCAGCCCGGTCTGCGCGAATGCGAACTTCGGTCCGACCGCAGCTCCGCGGGCTCGCTCGATCGGCCCGCGGCGCGAGGCGTGACGCAAATCACGAGCGACCGCCCCGGCGTTTCGCGCGAATTGTCGTCCCTCGACAAACCGTCGCGATCGTGTGTTTCACCTCGGCGGAAAGATACGCGACGCCCGAGCGGAACTTTGCTCGACGTTCGCAGAAACCGAGCCCAAAGTTTCGCTCCGGCGGACGAGGACACTCACGTAATCCGCGTGTGCGCGGGCTCGCCGTTGCACGTGAATGAGAGCGCGAATCGGGATCGCGATATTATTCATATTTATATCCTCGCGCAGAGATGGAAAATCTAATCTCGATATGGCGCGGAAAATTTTCCGGCAAACAATGGATTTGTATAAAACGAGCGCTATCGTAAATTTCGATGAGAGAGGGCAAACCTTCCAGCGCAAATATTGTAGTGCCGTGAACGGGGAGCATGAAAACCTTTGATGCTCACGCTTTTATATTTAATATATAAACCCGCGATATAAAATACACTATTTGTCGGCTGAAACGAAAGTACCACCGGCGAGTCTATGTTAGCAATTTTATTCGTAGATTTGCTACGTCGTGATTAAATAAACTTCGTGGTTTATCGATTAAATAAATGGTGATTAATGCCGGTCGCATCTCCGGGAAATAAAGCTAAATAAATTCCTAAAATGCGAATTTATGAAACGCATTTATTTGTCATGTTTCAATTTCATTAAACAGCAATGCGTATTCGAATATTAAACGCTATGCAATATTGATCACGGAATCAGAGAGTTTTACGACAACACATGAATCTATAATCAACATCTCATTGCTCGATGTTTTAATTTTATTTAATAATAACACGTTTAAAATAAAATGTAGTAACGAATTCGGAGAATTTATGAAATCCTGCAATTCTTTCTATAATCATGCTTTATTATTATTATATTAAACAAAGAAAATGTGTAAGCGTGTATAATTAGGCACCAATATCCAGTTTGGCCGTCAGAGACGTTTCTACACGGAGAGCATTTACTCTTAAAATTTGTCCTGAAAATCCTGTGATTGTGTGGGACAGCATGGCATTTTGAAAAACTTTCTGAGATTTCGTGAGAAATTTCACCACACATTTTACTACTAAAATGCAACAACCGCGTAATACTTTGCCCAATTGTCATTCTTGAACTTTACAAAAATAAAATGTCGAATTGCAACTAAAGTACCAAATACGATAATTATTCGTAATGGCACTTGTGAAAGCGGAATTGCAAAATAACATTTATTGAGTTGATTCTACACGGAGAGAAATTTCTCTTAATAATTTATCCTGAAAATCATTGTGGAACAGCATGGCATTATTACTTTCTGAAAGCTCTTTGAAATTTTACTAATAAAATGTATGGTAAAATTTCCAAAACCTCTCGTAAAGTTTCTAGTATACCTTTTATTAATAAATACATCACTAGTAATACATTTTCCTTAGTATACATTTTATTAGTAAAATTCACCAATAAAATATATGCTAAAAACTTTATGAAAGTTTCTTGGAAATTTTACCATACATTTTATTAGTAAACATTTTACTAGTATTACTGGTGATGCATTTACTAGTAAAATTACTAGTATTTTACTAGTAAAATGTATACTAAGAAAAATGTATAGTATACTAGTAAAATGTATAGTAAAATTTCAAAAAACTGATAAAATTCTTCGAAATGCCGTGTTGTCTCACGATTACATGATTTTCAGGATAAATTTTGAGAGAAAGTTCTCTCCGAGTATTGCTATTCGCGTTACACGTTATTTAAACAAAGAAAGTTGTTTCAATCTCAAGTAAGAGATGTTATTGTTTTCTTTGCGCTCCAATAAGAGGGCAAGAAACGGGATCGAGAGAAGGAAAGCTCACCAGTTTTTTGCATCTTGGGACTGAGCATGATTGCAGGTCGCTACCAGAAGGGTGTCTCCTCACGGTTGATCCTCACAGCGGTGATTGATTGTCCAGTTTACCTTGTTCGGTTTCTAATAGTGTAGAAAATAACGCCTCGATGTTGAGCGCCGAGAACGCGTCTCGATCTTGTTCCGGAGACGTCGCGGACTCATCAGAGGCCGTGCCGTTGTATCTGCAAAACGCCGGAGAAGAATCCGCTCGATGAATGGCGCGCGACACGCGGGCGGAATCTGCATTGGCAAAATTGTTGGCCTCAAACCGCGGGGTGTTACCACCGTGTCCGATTCGCGGAGGTAAATATTATCGACAGACACCATTAATATCTATTAATATGTTTATCGCTACAAAAACATATTGGCGTCATCGGACTAAATCGTTAGTGCTGTACTCCCCGCGACGGGATATTATCGAGTTTCATCGCAGGGACGCTGCGATAACGTTAATTTGTATAAATCGGATGGATCATTAATTCGTAATGGGTAAATAATGTTATCGAACCGATTCGACGTAACCGAAATTATTCGTATCCCCGAATAAACAATGAAACTAATCGTACGGCGCGCGGCGTCCCGCGCGTTGTAACTGCCTGCACAAATATGCGCTGAAGCGTAATGATTTCACGATGACCGGAACGGAGCGGCGCGAAGTGAAACTTGATTTTCCGAAAGCGGTGGCGTTAATTCAAAATGCCCCGTCTTGCAGACCGCTTCCGATCTCCTAACTCGTTTATTATGTTACGGGATCGTTTGTTCCGCGTGTCGTTTTTAGCTCACGAGGGCGGGCAGGAAATTGAAACGATGGCACACGCGAGGACCGCGCGGAAATAAGATCTTAAGCTACTTACGATTAAAATCGATATTCTCGGGGTACCTAATTGGCGTTAACGTCGATTCTAACGACAGCCGTTACGATTACTTCCGATTCCTACTAATTGCGAGCGCAACATTGACGCTTTTTTTATACCGTCGGATCGCGTATCAATTCTCGTTCCGCGATGTCGAGCTGTCGAAACGCTAATTAATCGCAGAGTTGGGAAAGTTACTTTATAAAAGTATCTAGTTGCAGTTAGTTCTTTTTTTTGCTAAAAATGTAACTAGTTACAGTTACAAGTTACCAATTCTGAAAAGTAACAGTTATTAAAAAAGTAACGATTCGTTACTTTGCAGTTATTTTCTTACAATGAAAATAAAAATGTCAAATCTGCATTTGAATTGTAAAGCGTCGATAAAGGCGTTCATGCGCAAATGCAAGGCCTAACGCGATCTGCGAAGATTTAAAAATATATATAAAGTACCCAGAGAACATGCATGTCTAAAAGACATCTTTTAGTCTATTAGACGTCTTTTAGACATAAGACGTCTAATAGACGTCTTAAAGATGTCTTTTAAACATGCATGTTCTCTGGGTGACTATATTAAATTAGTTACTAGTTATCGAAAAAAACGTAACTGAGTTAAGTTGCAGTCACAGATGGAGAGAAAGTAACGAAGTTAAGTTAGAGTCACCAAAAACCAAGTAACTGTGACTGTAACTTCGTTACAAGTAACGAGTTACTTCCCAACCCTGATTAATCGAATAGGAGACGAGAAGGCCAAAATTTTTGTAGATTCGAGCAAGGTGAAAGTAACCTGATAGAGAAAATCTAACGTGTGATTTCATATATCGTTTTTTTTCCAATTAATTAATGTTTAACTGATTAACGTTTCCTAAAGTTCAGTTGCGTTAAATCGAAGCAGAGTTAGTTTAATCCGAGGCAAACGATAGTACATGCGTTCCGATAAAAAGTTCTATACCCGCTAAAATTCAATCAGTGAATTATCACTGAAAACAGTGAATAGTCACTGACTTGCAGTTTTAAGTATACTACTGAAAATTGCAGCGGCGCAATTATAACTGTAAATCGGTGACTATTCACGGTTTTCAGTGATAATCCATCGATTGACTTGTAGAGAATACAGGATCTGAAACTGCTTGTTTTCTCGGAAAATTGGAGGTAGCGACAAAATCTTTTCTAGTATAATATTTCCGAGTTCGTCTTTCGATACGTGAGACGCCGATGCCGGAGAAAAGCGAGGAGACACGAGTTCTTCGTTTCTTTCAAAATAATATGATCCTTTTTTATATAAATCGATCCCTCTCGGCTTTTCATGTAACGCTGTTAAGTTAAGACTATCAAAAATGCACATTCCACGAGATATTCTATCCCGATATAAAATATGATACACAGTCCGTAAAAAGATATTCATTTTTCGATGACCTTACTTTGTATGTAGAATGAGAAGAATCGATCGACGTAAAAAGAGACAGTGGCGGCATTCGAAGGGAAAAGAAACAATTGCATATTGCGGATGCATTCACGTATCTGATGCAAAGAATAGAATCATTAATCGATCGAAAGGTCAGAGTGAATACTTCATACGAGATATTTTATATATCATTAAAGTGAAATAATAGGAAATCTCTTTTTATTCCTGCGGAATTGTAAAGAGAATTAACGTATATACGTATAAAATGTTTGCGATTAAAAAAAAAACGGAGGGCTAATAATGGCACTCCGCACACACGAACGGCCTCGGCGTGCCCCAAAATGTTAAAGTTGATTTTGCTTTAATAATTCACAAGAAAATAGCTTGGGACGCTGTTAATTTCACACCGGGTACATAATGATTGTATTATCGCTACGCGGTAATTTCGTGCGCAACAGCCCCGTAATCGATGGAAATTAATCGATATTTTACGGTTTATAAATACTGGCGCATTTACGCCGACAAAATGTGATTCAAGTAGGAGGAGATTCGCATGCAGTCTGTTTACAAGTGAAAATACGCTGAGTTATACGATAGCTTTTTATTTAAAGCTCGTAAGCCGCACGTAGCTCTAGGAGTTTTCCGATAAATACGCTCAGCCATACGGATCCATTTTTTTTATAACACTCGCCGGATATATCATTTTAAAAATACCCCCCGCGCACCTTGCGATTTTCATCAATTATTCCGTTTATTTTCCAGCGTTCGCGACGGATATTTTAATTATTGCCATATTCTGACGCTCGCACGCCGAATCGTCATTTCTAATCCCGGGGCCAGCGAGAGGAAAGGCGAAAGGACATGACGTGGGTCCCCGTGTAATTTAAATTGGCTTTCCCTCCGCCGTTTGCATTCGCGTTAATGAGCGGTGACAGCAGCTTTTTCCCATCTGAATAAGGATCGTCGCTTCTCCCGAGAGAGGCTGAGAACGAAGGGCGCACGGGACCCCGGAAGGACTCGGAGAGAGAACTGAATGGAATAAAAAAGAAGCTCACAATAGGGTAGATTTGCGACGAGGCGGCACGTCTGCGAAGGGTGAATTTTCGAAAAGAGATCGCTCTCTCTCTCTCTCTCGCTCTCTCTCGTCCTGTACGGGGCAATCCTCGTTCAAAATCCTCCTCCCTTGAGCCGAGACGAGGGAGGAAAGAAGGGGATCGGATAAAAGGAAATTCAAAGTATATCCTCTTTCACAGTACCTGCACGTATTCCGTCGCGACGCGTCTCTCCACTCTTCCCTCCTCGTCCTCTTTCTCGCCAGCCACCGAGTCCTCCGCGAGAGAGGTCCCGCCTCGCCACCTGTTCGTGCGTGCTCTCAAGACCGCATGCCGTGCAATCACCACCTCCTTTTCTTTTCCACCCGCTTCGTACGTCTCCCCGGAGAGTCGCCGACACGGCTCCTCTGTCCCTCTTCTTTCTTCCTCTTCCTCTCGGCCGCGGCCGCGAGATCGCACCGGAAGAGGCTCGTCGACGCGTGCCACCGGTTTCCTCGCTCCGGTCCTCTCCTTCGCCAACGGTTGACAACGGTTCCTTAGACGCTGATTTTTATTTCCGGTACGACCAGGGCGGCGATGCGGACGCGCGTGATGTAGACGCTGGCGGAAACGACGTCCCGTGATGACGGCCGGCGACGACGGCACCTGACGCTCCTCTTCTCATGGTCGGGAGACCCGGCGACCTGCGACGTTACGATGTTGGGGGTTGCGACGTGCCTGACGCGCGAGGGCGACCGACCGACCGACAAGCTCCGTCCTCCGCCTATATATCGCGACACGCGCGCGTCCACCGCCCCGTGAAAGGATCCCGGAGGCTGCGCCGGATGGGCCGGCGAGTGCGCAAGCTCGTAAGCCTCGTAAACTCACCCTTTGCCCGTAGGCGCCTCACCTCCTCGCCCTTTACGAGCAAAAGGGAGAGGAGAAGAGAGAGAGAGAGAGAGAGAGAGAGGAGGGGGGGGGGGAGGCTACCTGTGCCTGCTCGCCTGACTGCCTGCCGCCTAGCTCTTGCCAGGAGGCCGCCTTGGATCTAGCATCGAGAACACCCCCGTTGACCATGGCAATCCAGGTCGGACCAAGTTGGGTTATACATTAGCGTTAATAGCAAAAAGCTGCTTATTTTAGTTCTGGAGAAAGAGCCTTGACGGTTAAGCGCAACAAGTACGCGGTCGAAATATCCCGAGGTGCAATAGGTGCATAAAAAAAATGTGCAGAAATGCGACACGGGGCGAAATGTAAGGCAAAATGTAACGCATATTATGCGGTACACGCGTGTACACGTTCCACCGTGCTTCCGTCCTTTTCCGCAATGCGTCCTGCAATAATTTGTTTAATTTAATGAATGCGCACTCGTCTTCGCTTTCAAAGGGACACTCTTGTTCAAAATCAAATATCGTGCGCCTCGCTTCCGTTAATAGAGCCTTTTGTCTCTGCAATTTTGTTCAAACTTTCATGATTCGTCCGCTAAACGCGTAGACTTTTCAGTAGCGAAATTAATGAAGCGGTTCGATATTGCGCGTGTGTTTACGCGCGTGTACAAGCGAAGATACTGCAGAGGGAACTCACGCGGGGGCGCGTACCTCACTCCTGGAAATTAATAATGTGTCGCTCGGTGACGAGCGAGAGTTACATTAGTGATCCAAACTGTGATTCGTTCAAGTTCAAGGCACACCCTTTGCATATTCGTGTGTCGTTGAAAGAGCACTCGTAATGTTCCTTTTGACAAAAGGTCTCCTCCAAGAAGGGATTTGTCTTGCTATTAAAAGAATTTTAATTAAATCTATTATTAAAACGTAAAGTGTACATAGCGATCTTCCAAGAGGAGTAATTTTACGTGAGACTTGGAAATATTTTCCAACCACTTAAAGTTGTAATAAATAAAATGTAGGATTTTGTCCGTGAAACAAGACTCGCGTCTTTCAAGCTGGACTTCTGCGATTAATTGGATAATTACTTTAATAGGGGAAGGTTCTCTATTATGAGATAGCAGAGTTTCTGCTAAATTAATAGGCATCATCTGTTGGTTGCATTATGCATTTATTGTCCTTGGAGTGAAATCTCTTCTGTTTAGTGGAAAACTCATTTGTTAGATTGTATAAAACGTTTTCGATTGAATTTGAATGTTGAAAAACTGCTATCTCATGTTAGAGACTTATCTCGCATAACAGCAGACTTTTCTCTATTTAATTGGTACTTAACAATTGTATTGGCGTCTCCGTTAAAAAGAATTTACCTTTTGATTTGCAAATTTCTGTATGCAAATTTGCGTGAAGTATCGAATATCTTGATCTTGGCATTTTATAATATATTTGTGTACAGACACCGCTCATAATTATTTAAACGACAAATATTTTGTACTTTTTACTCTGATGTGTAGCGTTAGACTATTTAACTATTTTATAGTATACTTTTTATAATTGTATACTAATTTTAAATTATTGAAATAACGTTCATCGATATGTTTTCAATTACGCTTGAGTCAATATTATGTTATTATTTTATTTATTACAATCTATGATGTCTATAAACAAAACGGAAAGATATTACCGGAGGCATGAAATAAAATATCAGCGGAAACAATGATGAAATTACTTCAATAAATACAAAATGTTTGTTAAGCAGTAATTAAAAAAACAGAATATTAATGAATATTATTTAAATTAGAATTTAATAAACTCTTTCAATTCAACATCATTATTGTATTATATTTTAATCTATAAGCTCATCATGTAAAATAGTTCTTATTAATAAATGCACTGAAAAAAATTTCTGGTTGAATATGGACGAATCAGATAATTCCTTTAGGATTTACCAGAATTCCTGTAATCCTACAGAAATTCTGGTAAATCCTAAAGGAATTCTGGTAAATCCTAAAGGAATTATCTGATTCGTCCATATTCAACCAGAAATTTTTTTCAGTGTGTTACTCTTTCCGGGTATAACTCTGTACTTTTGGGACTCTTCAAGTCGTTGGAATAATTATAAACAATATTATATGTATGTACATGTGCAAACAGTAAGAACAAGATCGGCCCCATTTTTTCGCATTCGACTTTGGTCACAAAGTAGGCACCGAACGAAAGGTCTCGTCAAGCTGATCGCAGATATGTCAATCTCACACTGAAAAAAATTTCTGGTTGAATATGGACGAATCAGATAATTCCTTTAGGATTTACCAGAATTCCTTTAGGATTTACCAGAATTCCTGTAATCCTACAGAAATTCTGGTAAATCCTAAAGGAATTCTGGTAAATCCTAAAGGAATTATCTGATTCGTCCATATTCAACCAGAAATTTTTTTCAGTGCAGAGTGTGTACCTATTTAACGTTCCAGAGATAGCGGGCTCCAAAAATTCCTATGACATAAGCGACGAAGCCGTCTGGACAGACACCAACCATTTGTTTGGAATGGAATGGAACCTTTGGAATCCGATATCTCTGGAGCGTTAAATAGGTACATTCTGAGACCGATCTGTAATCAGCCTGACGAGACCTTTCGGTTGGTACTTATTGTACTTTTTGACCAAAATCGAATGCGAAAAAAATGGGGCCACTTGCCAATGGACACTTGTTCTCACTCTTTATATACGTACATGCTCTATGAATGTGTTTAAATATATGCATATAAAACAGTTGAAGTAAGGTAAATATTTTTTAACAGAAACCCTAACATAAGGCGACTTTCGACAACTGTTTGGCACATGCTAAAGTGTATCGGAGTGTACACTCGGCGTCATGAATGCCTTTACACCTGAAGAAACGCGTTAAAGATATCCAAAAATTTATTTTAATAAAATGAATGTTATCGGAATATATTGAACTTAACGGCTATTTTCAGGTGTAAAAGCAAGACGCCGAGTGTATGCTCTGGTACATTTTAGTACATGTGGCAAACAATCGCGAAACTTCGCCTATAATTGTTAATTATTGCAAATAAGAATTATTGTACTCTTAGAAATCCACACGGAGAGAATTTTCTCTTAAAGTTTATCCTGAAAATCATGTGGTCGTGGGACAGCGCGGCATTTTGAAGAACTTTATGAAAACTTTATTTCTCGAAAGTTTGCTATACATTGCCGATAAAATGTATACTAATTGCAAGTATAATTACTTGTGAAATGTATAGTAAAATTTTAAAAACTTGTAAAAAATTCTTTGAAGTGCCGCGTTGTCCCATAATTACAATATTTTCAAGATAAATTTTAAGAGAAAATATACGTCACTTTACTAGTTCTTATACATTTTATGTCATAAAATTACCTTATTAAGTGCTCAAACGTACCGCGCCATTCTAAATATACTGTGACATTCCCTAACAGTTTTTCTTGCTTTTCGTAACGTTATCAAGTTGATCACTAGTTATTTTACATAGTTCGTTCAACAACCCGTTCTCTCAAGTTATCCTCTGTAATAAATTCCTGCGAATGCACATCAGTCTTTAAAAACTCCATAAAAAAAACACACCCGATTGCCTCACATTTTTCTACACGGAATAATACGAAAAACAGATTTACATTCGAGAGAAAAATGTATAATTCCCTTTTCAAAAATGTGTAATTGCATCTGGCAAATGCACTGATAAAAGAAACATAATCACAAAATGGCAGAGTTTAAACAGCGACTTCCCTCTGCGTTTCGTTTTTCTACCCTGCAATTTCAGAAAAAGAGTTTAACTCGCCCACTGAAATTATTCTGTGTACACATTCTGTCTTCATTCATAGTCTTCACAAGACAGAGGCGCCAATCCGTGCGGCAATTCGGCGTTGCGCCGTACGTGGGCGTCGCACAGAAAAGGAAATAATCGCGAGCGCAGAGCGACGTAATTGCGCAACGACAAAACGACAATAATGAGCAGACAGTCGCGTTGTTCGCCGCGAAATAGAATTATAGGTACGTTCCTTTGGCCGTAATCGGATTTACCATCGCCGGGCGCAATCGGAGCTATCGTAAAGCGCAACCGACATCGCGGTGCACCGGGCCGGCCTCGTGCAACAGAAGTGACAGTAAACTCTGCGCTGAATGCAACAGACGCAATTTGCAGCCTCCGGTCCTACTGCAGAACACGCGCGTTCCAGCCATGCGCGTGTACATTACATAGAGAGATATTCTTTCCTCAACTCCAAGTTCCGTCGGGTTCAAAGGTACATTTTCTGTTTCAGTTTCTGTATGCTTCAATGTAACCTGGGATATTGCGGCGTATCATGCATGTATACGTGCTCGTATCTACGCACAGATTTCCATTACGGCACGGATGCTTAAGGCACGTAGCAGAATTCTTCCGTTTCACATTTTCCAGAATGTAGCTTCGCATGAACCAGAAAGCGATTTCTTAAAGTGTTGGCAAGAGCAGCGTCTCGGCATACTTACTTGACGTATTATTGGCAATTTGGAAGAATTTGCGCAGCAGAGCCGCCTTTTTCTGCAATCCGTACTTTTATTACAAACTTTATTTTAGACGTATACTTTTTCAACAATCGAAACAACACGAGTTTCTTGTCAGACAAACGACAACCTTGATTAGACAAATGATAACAGCACCCACGGGTGAAAAGAACGTCACAAAAATTGTATGTATTCTAAGAAAATAGAACGAGTAACAAATAATATTTTCCATTTATAAAAAAATATGTATACGTATATTATTATTAAGCTTAAGATGCGCGCGATTGCGAAACACGGTAATACGTAAGGGTGAAACGTCTTGTCCCTTTGCTTTTCCGTTTCGTGTTGAAGTACTCTTCGTTATAAAACACCGCCACGTGAACATCAGCGGGAGTTGCTCAATTTGTGATGGATGCTGCATTGATAGATAAATTTCTCCCTCTGCCAGTCAAGCTGCAACGCATTATAGTCACGTACGTTTTAACGTAGCAACGACGATGGACGCAAGACGCAAGACGCTAAGCCGCAACGCCAGAAATCGATCAGTCGCAGTTAAACATGAGACGAATGAACGACTGTCATTGGCCGGTTTCTTGCGGCTTAGAATCAGCTTAAAAAGAAATCATCGAGTTACTTACAGTTCTGTCTGTTCTAGATTTGGGCGATTCCGCCTTTCCGGCTCGTCCTTTCTCATCTTCGAGGGAACTGACAATTGTTATTGCGAGAAGAGTGTATGAGCGAAACGTTCGTTGCGAAATCAGCGATTAGTAAATGTGTACAAGGCACAAATTACCTGCGTTCCTGTTTAAGCTTCACATCGCGAGAGTACAATTCCGTTACAGCGGGCTTCTCGTTACTTTCAGCATTGAGAATTTTGGAGTGAGACTCCACTTTGCCTGTTTCCCTCAAAGACGTTCTATTTTCCCTCGTGTCCCGCTCACGCAAAGTGAATTTATTATGTAATCTATGCTCCTGGGAATTATTGCGACAGCTATAGCGATTCTTCGCGGTTCCGATACGCGCGGTATTCGGCTCGGTGTTCTCGGCCGCGTGGGAGCACAAAATATTGACTCGATTATGCAGTTCCGACAGTTCCTTCAAGTTCAGCGACTGGAAAGAACAACCGGTAACGAATCGACGCGAAGAGCTACTCGCTAATCGATTACCTGCAACCAGCTCTCCGCGTCGAACGAGCTGTTCTCGATTTTCATTATGTCTTCGAATCTCGCTTGTAACCTTTCGACATTTTCGTTATGCCTTTTACGAAAAGCGTTCAGGCTACTGTCGTACTTTCTCTTCAGTAACGTCAATGTGTTCTGATATTCCTCCATTTGGCACTGTTAGATCGAGAGTAGCACATTTAGAACATTACCCAGTGCTAAAAGAGAGAAGAAAATTTGCGTGTACCTTGTAAGCTTACGTACTTTGGCTTTAGCTTGCAACTCGTTCTTCTCCTGCAACAAATAGGTGATGCACTCATGAAGGCTCTTTATTTCCCGATCTCTCAATTTTACGTCGTCCATCAGATTCTTAATTTCTTGCAGTTTCCCTTCGTGCTGGCCTTCGAGAAATCTTAACTTGTGCGCAACGTCTTCAAAATTACAATCTACCTCTCGAGTGACAGGGTCTAATATATCCCGCTCGCAGGACTGAAATTGCAAGCACTAGTGCTTGAGTTGTGCTCGATACCGAGGCATTAATAGCCGCTTGCGCGGAAAAAATTTAATCCAGGTGTAGAATTTTATGAGCAATAAGATTTAATAAAATAAGCTCGCGTACCTTATTAGCGTACACTTTCTTCTGTCGCTTTTCTTCCCCATCCTCGATCCCAGGAGCATCTTCACTTGGACAACGTTCAGTTGTGCCCTTCATCCCTTTGTCACATTCGCCGATTTCAGTTCGGAGGCGCAGAATCGTGTCGTAAATTTTTTGGGGAAGCGTGTACAGTGCGTCCTTCAGCGATGACGTTATCGTCTCCTCGGCAGGGCTTGACAACTGATCGTTGGTATTTCTTACAGTCTCTATATCTGCCAGCAGAGCCTCGTTTCCGCGCGATAACGCCTGCAATCGGCTTTCGACGCTCGCGGCCGAACTCCGGTAACCCGCCATCTCGCTCTTCAGACAGTCCACTCGCGCCAACAGCCTCTCCTTATCCACGTCCAAGTCCGACAGGGTCGCCTGCAGGACATTCATCACGGCCGCATTGTCGCTTTCTCTTCGCAGTGATATCGTGTCGTTACTCCGCGCGAGTTCAACCTCAGTCTCCCTTAACTGATCGCGCAGCGATTGATTCTCGTCCCGCAGTTTCACGATATCGCTGTGCTTCTGCGTTATCATCGCGTCATATTTAATGCTCCCGTGAGTCAGAGCTATTCTGTTCCTCTCGTCCTTACGTTCCAGCTCCGCTACGACCTCGGCGTTCCTAGATGCGGCCTCGTTCGCCTGTACGAGCTTATTTGCAAGATCGTTATTCTTCGTCTGCAGGTCGATCAATCTGTCGAATCGACGAGTCGACTTAAGAATGACGGGTCGAGTATTAATAGAGGCGAAAGTAGCCGCGAAATTACTAACTTAGTTTTCATGTCCTCGGCACCGCTGGTTTCCTCCTCCAAGACTTGGACGGTTCGCTTCAAGTCGTCTATCTGCTGAGTCAACTCGTGCACCCGGTCCCTCTGCGCTCTCAGTTCTTCACTTCGCGCGTCGGTCTCCTTCGAAAGTGAGCTTTTTGCACCGACGAGATCAGCATTCGCGATTTTCAACGCGTCGCACTCGGCGCGGTAAGAAAAGATATCGCTTTCCAGTGCAGCAAGGTGCTCGTGCAGCCTCTCGATCTTCGAATCCCTTTTACTTATTACGGCCTCCAACACCTTCTCCTTCTCCAACATCTTCTGCCTAAGCTGCTCCTGAATCGCGCAGTCGCCCTCGCCTCTCCGCAACACGTGCTCCGCCACTTTTTGCTTTAATTCCGTAATTTCCAGGTCCTTCTTTTGCAGCTCCTGTTGCTGCCTGGTGAACTCTTTGACAATCTGTACGTGATGGTCCCCGGCACCTTAATGAATTTTCATCATGCAATTACTCGCTGCACGTCGCATTAAAGGAACTGCGCGAGGGAGCACAAATGTAATACCTTGAAGACCCGCGGATATCCCGTACATTTTGTCAATGGAACGTTTGATATGCGTCGCGAGAGCACGATCGATATCTTTATACGAGATCACTTCGTTCGGCTTCACTTTTTCCGACTCTTCAGAACGCGTTGTAGTCGAGTCAACGTCGTCCGATTGAATCTGAACGCTGACTAATTCTTTAGATGACTGACAGTCGATGTTACTCGAGGTGTGTGTGGAAACATCTTCTGTAACATCATTAAATTTGGCACACACTCTGCATCAGATTGTCTGCTCTCAAAAAGTCAATCAGCGGCTTATCACTGAAAACGGCGAATAGTCACTGATTCACGGTTACAAGAATACCATTGGAAGTCTCAGGTGGTATATTTACACTGAAAAACATTGTATCGCTACCGTAGCCTAATCGTGGTTTGCTAAAAATATTTTGCTACCCGGGAAAAAATGGAAATATCTCATTATACAGGGTGTCCCAGGAAGAAAGGTCAATATTCTGGGAGGTGACAGTATCGGTCGTTTTAAGCAAAAATGTTCATACGAATATATGTCCCATTCCCCACTGTTTCCGAGATAGAGCTGCTTGAGTGTCTCGTGTATCTACTTTTTTTCTGTACACTTCACCCATCATCCAACCTCATAAACGTCTGCGGGAATTTACTCTTATACGTCCGTTGACTGTTGTGCCGATAACATTGTAGAAATGTTGAAAGTGCCTCGCATATTCACAAATGTCGAAGCAATACGCCATGTTCGCACGAGAGTTTTAGCTGAAATTTAGTTGCTACGTGCAGCTTTTAGCTACGACAGCTACGTTTTTCTTTCTGTGTACAACTGTGAATCAGTGAGTATTCGCTATTTTCAATGGCAATCCACTAATTGGCTTTTAAAGAGTATTGATAGATTAATCATTTCCCATGTGCGCTGTAACGTCATTATTATATAATTAATGTGCTTATTTAACGCGGAGTACAAAAGTTTTACATGAAATGATTAGTGGAAGGAGTCTACATAGATAAGTGACAGAGAGAGAAATGTAAAATTAAATAAAAAGTTTTTCCAAAAGAATCACAGACGAAGAGAAGAGGAGAGAACGCGTACAGCGAAGTGCTGAAAAAATCTATAATACTTGAAATTGAATAAAAAAAAACTTTACTGAAACTTTTAATAGTCCAGGATATCTTTAAAAATTCAAGACGCGCATCACTGCGTCGCAACGGAGCAACTTGCACAAAGAAATAATAAACAAGACTTAATTCTCTCTTAAGAATCACTGATCCAAGACTGTAATAACACGGCTTGATTTGACACGAATGCAACGTTGGATTATTGGAACGGCGATTGAGGCAGGACGGAAAAGATCCCGAGTGTAACTCGAAATATACCTGCAGCCGGCTGAATCGATCCGTGTCCGGTATCAAAATCTGTGTTTGTAATTTCGCTGACGGTCTCTTGGCTGTAACATGCCACATAAGCCCTTAAGTTATCTATCTCCCGCAGACGATTACGCCGTTCTAGTTTACACTCCTCCAACTCGGCTATGAACGCTTTTAAAGCGGACAACGCGCTCGGCACGTCTAAGCAAGTGTCGTGCTCGCACTTGGTGTAATCGCAAACGCCCTCGTACGCTATCTTAGTCTCGTCGAAATTATTCAGACTACTTTTCAGCATGTTAGTCAGATTACCGACCTCCCGCTCCATGCAAACTAGCTGCGTCTCGCACTGCGAGATCTTGTCGTCTTTTGCCTGAATCTCATTTCTCAGGCCGGCCACTACGCCATTCATCTCTACCTGATCGTAAAAATTATTAGTGGGCGAAATCTACGTAAACAAATGACGGATAAAATTTGCGCGAAAACACTTTTTCCGAGGGAAACGGTGTACACATAAATGAGACGAGGTTTAAGCGCACTTATCATCACTAGCGCGATCTACTCTCTAAAAGTCAATCAGTGGATTATCACTGTTTGACTTTCAGAGAGTACTTGTACGCTTTTCTGGAAAGACGATTTTAAGATTTACTCCCCAAAAGTCAATCAGTGCATTATGACTGTGAACCAGTGAATATTCACTTTCGCTGCTTTCAGTGATAATCAACCAATTGATTTTTACAGAGTAGGATTATGACGTGTAGACAGGCGGTAACCGATTTCTTACAACGATCTGGTTTCTTTATCTGTTACTTTATAATCGCATGTAAAATTTACATCTGCAAACTGTGAAGAAAATACTTTGTTAAACATTCTCCCGCTGTTTTGAAAAACTTTTTCTTTTACTATTTAGAATTGTAATTCTCTGCGACGACATGTCCTCGCAATAATCTGCAATTAAATCTGCAATTTGTAAGATCTCTTTAATTATATTCACGCTGTTCTACCCTAATTATAAATTAGGACAATGTAATGTCGCGCCGGTGCTCCCGAATAATTTATTCCCTTTATTATTAATTGAATTGACGTTAAAATTAATGGATCGCGATGTGACGCGTGTAGCCAAATGACGCACCTCACGAGTGTCAGCCGTAACAGACATTTGCTTTATCAACGTCAATAGTCGTTTTATTTCGTCTTCTGTGTCCGCCAACGTGCAACTTTGCTCGTGATATTGCTTTTGAAGCATATCACGTTCTCGCCAGACGTTTTTCATCTGCTCTAAAGCGATACCGCAGCTCTCCGCTTCTCTCGATAAATGCTCCATTTCCTTCACCTTCCGCTAATTTATCACATATGTATACGGATTAATTTATTATCGAATTTTTTTGGCTTCCTCCAAACGAGATTATATATTCCGCGGCATTTCTCAAACGGAACAAGATGACATCAAAGAGTAATCATTTTTAGAAAGTCAAGACGATATCATTAGATATTTTTATAATTTGACTTTTTTATGACTATATTTTGATTTTTTTATAACTTTAGCTGCGTAAATCGCTCGTGTATGCGAAATGATTGAAAACTCACAGATGTTATTATACGTGTTACGAATTTGTAAAATTATTTCATTTTTGTAGCATTGATAGTCCGATTTTCCATTCGCGAGATACAAAATAAAAGCTCAAGAATACAAATCTTAGAAAATACTGAATATCGCGCTTTACCATATAAATCGGTTTCTCATCATTAACAGTAACACTTTTGTTAAAAAAAAATATTCTGCATCCACTACCATTGTGAGTATCGAAAATAATTTAACAATAAGCTCAAATTATCGCGAGCCATGTTAAGCAGCATAAAATCATAATTTGATCAAATTTCTGTCGTGATCAAAGTGTGACCCTCGATAGTTATTATAATGTCACTTTGATGTTATCGTCCTCTCCAAAAGTCAATTAGTGAATTACCACTGAAAATAGTGTACTCACTGATTCACAGTTGTAAGTATACCAGCCCAGATAGCACACATAGTGCTATGAATATTCTTCTGGAGTGCAAATATTCTTAATTTCAGAATATTCCAATCGAATATTCTATAAATAAATATATATATGTATATATTATTACAATTGGAAATCGCATATTCATAACAAAGGAGAACGTTTTTAAAATATTCGTCGAGAATGTCTTTGGAATATTCATTCAGAATAATTTTTTAGTATTCATCGAATTTATGTATTGCACATTGTTTATTGTGTAATACACTTATCTTATGCAAAAGGCAGTAAAACTTGTGATCATGCCATATATAACTGACACGCTATATTCGATAGATCATTCTATTCACATTCGAAAAAGATTTATTTAGGTGCAAGTCGGGAATATTCCAAATATTCTTGAAGAATATTCTTAAAATGTCCATAGGAGTGTCTTGTGCTATCTGGGAGGCCTGGTTTTTCATTTTCTAGTCAATTGTTAACCAGAGGCTACCCAGTGAGAAACGATTCTTCGACGTCAATTTGAGTTATTTGAGATTGACAGATATACAGAGTTAGAATTGTATAAACTTATGTAAAAATATACAATGTGAAAATATGTATGAACATATTTGATGTGTATTTTTATATAATTTTATATATTTATTCATGTTCATGCGTGAAAAATTTTTTACCGGGGTGGTATTCTTGTAACTCTAAATTAGTTACTATTCACTGTTTTCAGTGACACTCCGCTGACTTTCGGAAAGTGACTTCATGTTCTGCTTGGGTTACTATGTCTCGCGCGTACAAACCGTAAGCGACTCGTTTTCCATGGAGAGTAATTCTACTTCCTTAACTTCCGCCCTAAGGCTCTGGATTTCCTGCGATTGGACGTAACAAACTTGACATTTTCGAGCTAACTCCGCTCTCAACTGATCCGTCATACACTCGGAAGAAGAGAGCTGCGAGAAAGACGATAAAGATAAGATAAAGATCCAGAACGAGAAACATGTGGCGCGTGTACAAAACTTTTCGATTCTATTACTTTTGCACTTAGATTCTCCATTTCGCTGTCACGCCTGTCGCTCACTATTTTCAACTTTTCTTGCAAGGTCTAGGGACGCGAGATACAAACAGTTACGCAAATTTTTACTGGAACTAATCGGGGATAAGTACCAATTTACATTAACGTTACGCCTCAGAAAGTTCGAATCCTCGTTCTTCTCTTTCAACAACGATTGCAAATGCCTGTTCAGTTCCCGTAGCTCTTCCAGCTCGTCTTCCTTCATCTGAAAGACGAACGCGGGTAAAATTCACCGGATATACCCGTTGCACGAAGACTCGCCAAATAACACAGGAGATCGTAATGAATTCAAAAAGGATATACTTTTTTTTAATTCTTTCTAAATTAGCGGAATCTGTTCAGAGTGAGCTCAAAAAGAATTCCTCGCGGTGCGAATTTTTATAAAGTAATACAGAGAACCCTGCCGGAAATAATTCTACAAAATTCTACAAAAAAAAAATACTGCCAGAATCTAAGAAATTCTACGTAAATTTAAAGTCTTATAAAAATTAACATGAAAATGCTAGAATTGGAACACTTTTGTTAATTTTTGCAATTTTCTACAAGTAGATGTTTTAATTCTTTAAGATTTTGTTGTTTCTCAAATTTTGGAAACTAGCAAAGTTTGGTATTAATTTTTACAAAATTGTACATTTTCATGAAACACTACTTGCAATAATTTCTTGATTTGAGAACATTGTAATTTGTAGTACTATTTCGTAGATATTTTTACAAAAAAAATGTTTCAACGAAGATATAAAAATTTCTACAAATTTCTATTTCAAGTCATTTTTCGTAGCTACTTATAGAAATTTTTTCCGCTAGGGAATTCTTTTCGTATTCGAAAAAGAGCTCAAAATTCGTGATATGAGAGCAAAGTGTTCTTGAATTCTTAAATGTTCTAGAACAGAATGGCATATTTCTCGAACAGAAATGAGAAAAGGATTAGTTTTATAAATAGGGGATTGGGGAAGAATTCTTTTTGGATTCTCTGTGCTGTCTGGGTTGTTTCGATCAAGTCGCCCAGTCTCGTACGCCAAGCTCGTTCTTCAGGACGATAATTTCCGAATCCTTTTGGATAATCACTCCCTTATGGCTTCTCCCGCAGACCTCAGAATCCGAGTTCACCCCTAACTCGCTCTCGGACGTGGATACGCTCTCGCTGGTCTCGTAATACCGGCTTGAGGGTGAATCGCCGTTAGACTGCTGGTAGTAAACGTCGTTATCCTGACACTCTTCCGTTTGCACACCCATCTCGCGTACCTCTTGCGCCGCTTGGGAAGACGCGTCGACGTACTCGATGCAGACGCGCGGCTGCTCGTTACCCTCTGCAAAATTTATCGCGACGGATCGTTTCGCTGCGTCTTCGCGAGATTGGCCGGGCAGAATTCTCAAGAAAACAAAAAGTCATGATGAAATCGAAATAACTACTGTCGAAAGTCATATTTTTATCGTAACAGGAAATTAATTAAATTATGATTTTTCAACTTAAAAATTGTTTGACATAATTCGCGATAATTTAAACTTGGCAGGGATATTTCCATTATTCATAATTGTACGTTAAGATAACTTAAATATATAGTAATAATTGGCAGTTATAAATACAATACTATTGTGACACAAAATGTTCTTTTTAATAAAAATGATGTATTATTATAAGAATATAACGTGTATAGTAAACCGCAATATTCAATATTTTCCAAGGTTTGTATTTTTTTATTTTGCATTTTGTAAATGGAAAATCAGGCTATCAATGTTTGAAAAATCAAATATTTTTCCAAATTCGTAAAATATAACATCTATGAGATTTTAATCATTTCGTATGCACGAGCGATTTGCATTTTCTCGGCTAAAGTTATCGAAAAATCAAAATGTAGTCATGAAAAATCAATTTGTGCTTCGTTAAAAGTGTTAAATAATATCATCTTGACTTTCGAGAACTAATTATTTTTTCATCTTGACTTTTAAGTGACATTTTCTTCTGCTTAGATTCCGCTCAATAAAGATAGAAAAGTCAAAAAGTTAAATGTCAATTTGACCGAATCTGACCGAAACGTGGCGCAAATTTGGTCAGCATGGCATCAAATTGCGCGCTCAAAAAAATATCTTACTAATGCAGGTAGATTTCTAGGCACTGCGGTAAAAATTTACCGCTATTTTTTTGTATGTGTTAGAACATTGTTTGTAGCCTGCAAACTTTATAGCAGCAACATTCCAGTAATGCCTTCTGGAAAGTTTAGGTTTCATGACTAAGTATTAATCACTCACATTGGATGAAAATAAATTTCGGTACCGCAGCTAAAACAATCTTTGTAAGGAATGTAACTGTTTATGTACCACAATCAAACGTTATAATGGATGTGGGCGCCACGGAAAGACTTTCTCCCTAACATTCGATAACAGTTCAGATAAAAATTCTGTTCCTGTTATTTCAATTGATCAAATACAAAACATATGCGATTTCGCAGTATCGGCTATTTATTTATGTATCTCAGTTATTTTGGCGTACCTAGAAAATTGTTGCTGCAGTCGCAAGATCATTTTTTTCAGTGCGACATTTTGACATTTCTGTTTCCTTCGGGCTTCGTTTGACAAACCAAACGGAGATCCTGCGACTTCTCTCCCGGCAAAAATTTAAAATAAACGGATGTATGGAGAATAATTTTGTTCTTCACGGCCTTGAACCTTTTACCTCGCGCGGCTTTCACCTCGGTCAGCATATCGCAGGACGTTAAGCGCGACACCAGATAAGTATTATTTTCTGACAGTGGATTCGCATGCGGATCATTTCTCAGGACGCGCGTATTAGTTGGTAGCAAACGGTACCCGTCTCTACCATATCGGAATCCGTCAGGACGAAAGTATATCGACATGTAAGCGTCGAAATGTCGCGAGGATGCGATCCTGCTCGCGTTGAATAATCCTTCCTGAGCGAGCGGTCTTATCACAGATTCAATTCTCATCTCTTCCGCCTGATCGGTACCGACAGTAGCTTCAGCCTGCAAAATGGCAGTATATTATCCGCTCGAGCTGAGGGCGAGACTTGACGCCCAAGGCTCAGGAAGCTCACGAAATTCTCCAGGTGACCCCGCTGCTCCGGGGTGAGATTCAAGGATCTGTAGCCCCGCAGTTCTCGCCGCGCAATGCGAAGCTCGCGCTGAGCTCGAGCCGTAAGTGCTATCATGTTTTCCATTACCGCGCTGAATGGTATCAGTTTCCCCGGCTGTACACAAAGAGAGAACCGAGATAACCGAGATTTTCCCCATCGCCAATAACGCTCCAGATTTCAAAGTCGCTCGTTGAAAAATTCCCTTCCCGAATCAATTTACACGGCCATACATGCAGGCATAAATAAAGTGTAAATCTCTTTTCGGAAGAAGCGGCGACTCGGAGCCGAGGGTATATTCCTTAAAAAAAAAAAGGAAATTTGAAATATTTGCGTGGGGAAACGAACCACGAGTGCGTGCTCGTTGAGCTCTCGGAAGTAACGCGCGTTCTCCAGGACATTCGGGCTCCACGCTCGGGTGTCTGTGCACGAATTGTAGAGCTTCAAACGACCCTCCGATCTTCTCCTCGGTAGGACGTAATCCCCGTAAGACAAAGGTACACCATTGCCTGGTCTACCCGTCAGAAAAATCCGGGGTCCGTGCTCGGCGTAAGACATCTCTCCCGTTGGCGTCGCGCGACTCTTTCCCCGACTCAATATTTGCCGAACGTTTGCCGCCGTTGTCCCTCAATGAACGACCGCGAGGTGCTCGGTTCTCGAGGCGAACATTACGTCCCACGCAAAGTTACAGAAGGTGCGAGATAAGCGAGATTTATCGCGTTCGCACCTCGCGCTCTGCCATATTTTATTTACACACCATAGTAACCGACTAACCGCGACAGAGACGGAGGTCGCAGATACGTCGATACTGCGTGCGATTCCGTGAGATTACATAAGTAAGCGATAAGTCGGCTCGGAATATACAATAAAATATCTTTATTTCATAAGCTGCCGTTAAAAAGAATTACAGCGTTAATAAGTATTCTCGTCCTTATTAATTTACCAACTATCTCTTATCCGTAAGGAGTACAATGCGACGTACCGCGTTAAAAATATATCTAATTTCATCTCGCGAACGCTAATTTAGCACTGACGATTTCCCGAAGTAAACGGCTACGGCTCGATAAAGCGCCTAGCACAGACAGTTAAGTACTTCTTGCAAACGTGTCTAGTCCATACTCTATTTGGTTAAGTACAAAAGTGATTCCTCGCCTTGAGCGATAAAATACGTACAGATTAAAATGACCGTTTTAAAATACTAATTCTTTCATTCATCCTTTCATTCAAGCACGCGCGCGCACACACACTCTCTCTCTCACTCTCTCAATAATTCTTTTCGATTCGCATACCGAAAACATCTTTTTCAAAAAGACGTCTCGTCTTTTAGATATTATACATGATCTGTGACGCATGGACATTCAGCCTAAGACAAAGGCGTTGGATTTAGAAAGAAATATATTAAGTGTACATCTTAGCGATCACGGAATTGATGATACGATTAACACGATTGATAATTTGGCAATGGAACGATATGGCCCGTTAAAGATGGTGCTTATTGCGGAAGTCCAAGTAGAATGGATTTGCGATTACGAAAAAAATACACTCGATAGAAAAATAGCTAGAATATTATAAATATATATATCTTTGTATATATTTATATATGTACACGTCTTTTCGAATTAAGTAGAAAATGTGGGCTTGAGCGTATATAAAAGTGGACTCGTGTAAACTACGAAGGCAGTATAAGATATCTTAAAAACGGTATCTCGCTCCTTCCTACCTCCCACCCCCCCCCCTCTCAACTTCAACGGTGTAAGTATAATTGGAATGTAATATTGTCTCTTAAATATTAATTCCGCATCGACGAAGGCACGCAAAGAACGATATTTTACACACATTTTACACACACGTGAAAATACAGTCGTTACTCCTAACGCGTTTTCATCCTTGATACTTACCGTCCTAAAAAAACCATTATCCTCCAATCCTTAGTCCGCAATTGGATAACAGATAACGTAGATAAATGAAATTAAAATTCAAAAACTTCAACAGTCTAAACATGCGGTGGAGTGGACGAAGTAGATACACGAATAGGCGTGTGGCTGCTTTTACCCAAGGGAACACTTCTTTTCCTTTCTATCGTCTTTTTAAAACTAGCTGCAATGATGTTGTCATCTAAGGCCACTTTTGCTTTTGGAACGTTATTTGTCAGGCAGCACAAAATTTATATATATATATATATATATATATATGTATATATCGATTTTCTCTTCTCGCGATAGCGTAGCCCAATACACGACATCCCGGGGCAATGGGCAATCGGTTACAAAGTATCGAGGGGCACGAGCGTTTCTCTTAATGGAATTTGCGAAACATCATCTCGAGGGGTATCAGTCGCGTACGATTCATAATACTGTGCAAAAGTTATCTTTCCACGCTTATTTCCCTTGTTCGCCCGCGCTTATATCGACACTTTACAACCAATCGTCTAATTGCTATTCTAAAGATACGAGACACGTTGCCCTACAGGTGCAGTACACCCTGATCATAATTTTGGTGATGATGGTGATGGTGGTAATGATGATGCTGAGCGGACGACGCCGAGGCATCATCCTGCATCGTCATGCCTGTAAGATCAACGATCTCATCCGCCTCTTCGTCGCTACCAGCGCTCTGCGTGGACTGGCGACTGCCCGACGATAACTGGCTATTACGCGAGAACGACCCACGGCGAGGTGCCGTTAACGCTGCCCTCTGATTCGCCGGCTTCACGGTTATTATCAGATTGGAGGAATTCGCTATCATCATATCCGTCACCTACACGCCCCGTGCACGAATTAGTATTTTTAAAAAAAGACAGAAGAAAAAAAGAGTAAGTACTTTGCAGATACTTAATTTATACAGGATAATTATTGGTTTTTTTTAAAAGAGATTCTTTTTACTGGTAAAATTTAAAAACATTCATGAACTTCTTCACAATGCCATGTTGTCCCACGATCACATGAACTTTTTAGGATAAATTTTACGAGAAAATTCTCCATGTAGAATCCAATCAATGCTACCTTACAATTCTGTTTTCACAAGCAGGACTGTGAAATTAATTATTGTAGCCAGTAATTCACTGCGACTCGACATTTCACTTTTGTAACTTTCAAAAATGACAATTAGGCAATGAAAGTGTAACGCGGTTATTGCCGCACGAGTCATATCAGTTATATTGCAACAACAGTTCGCGGAAACGTCAGTGAACGTTTCCGAGTCATCCTCGACACGATAAATATTTAAAAAAATCAATTCTCACGTTCAGTTGGGCCACACGGCGAGTAGACTCTTACTGTTAATTAATTACATAGTTTTACTTTTGCAAAACTACCACCTACCTGATCGAGCGTCTTGCCCGCGACTTCTATACCGTTCACTTCCAGGACCTCGTCGTTCACGGCCAGAAGCCCCGTGCTCTCCGCCAAGCCACCCGGTACCAATCTACTGATAAACACACCCGGGACTTTCTCGATTCCCCCGCCAGCGGACGGCGGCAGTATGCGAAAGCTCTCGCCGTCTTTGATATAAAAACCTAGGGGCTTGTCGGAACCGTGCTTTAACAGGCGCACACGTCGACAGGTCTCTGGCAGTATGTCGACGTCGATAATCGCAGATACCTGACAGCAAGTACAAATTAACAATCAATCGGCCAGTAAAAGTTGGCGGGCGTGCGACGAAACGTACTCACCTGCCTGAAATCGTGCGGATTCGAAATGACTATAGATTTTGGCTTTCCTGGCGTGCCACCCAAGATACTGGATATCAAATTCTTAGGCTTCATTGTACCATAGCCATTGTCCCACGCCCCGTCACCTGACGTGTGGCAACAACCGGATTAAATGTCTGATATACATACATTGATACATACATACGTATATGTATATATACATATACATATGTGTATATATATATGTAGAGAATCAGGAAGACAATACAACGCTTAGAACCTCACCTTTCCTGTGTATAAAAATTCGGAGCAGGCACTTGGCGCTCGCCAGAGCCCGAGCCAGATTGTTATCATTATTGATGGGAAGTGGATCACCGTCCGTGTCCGTGTACCAGATCGAAAAGCTGAAGTCCGCCCCCAAGTCGTGCCGTTGCGCCAACAGCTTCCCAAAGTCCTCGTAGCTCATCGGCTCGTTGCGATTCATGGAGAATCTGATGATGTCGGCGTCGAACTGCAAAACAATTTGAATAATGCGCAGTCCCCCGCAAATGTGCCCCGTGTCGTTTCTCGTGTCACATCCGCGAGCGACGGTGCGACTCGAGTGTCGCGCACACCCACTTTGCTCTTCACGGCGACGATGCCGTTGTCCACCTTGTCCTGCTTCTTGGACATCCTCGGAGTTGCTTTCACCCAACGACGTACCACTACCTCGGCTGACTCAAACTAGCCTACGCGGTGGACAGAACGACGTGCATACCGAACCGCGACGGCGTGCGCGGTGCGTCTCGGCTACGATCACGTCTGCAGCAGGGTTGCCAGATATTTAAACTGTCAAATCGCCATTAGAGGTCACCCAAATCGCCAAAATCGCCATTAGAGGTCACTCAAATCGTTAGAAAAAGCGCCAGTTTCAGTACTATCTCACCTAGTAGAACAAGAAATCAAGATGAAACTTAAAATAAAGTCAAAATGAGATGTCAAGCCTAGACTCGCATTTTGTAATCTTATTCCAGATAACTCGAGACGTTCAGAAACATATATTTATTCGACCGATCACTAAGCAGTTAAGTAGCAATTTAAATACGATTGATTCTTACCTTTGGATTCAACGAATCACACTTAGGATGTGTTCGAAAATGGATTTAGTTACTGCCAGTGAAAACAGTATAGTTGGTAGCAATGAAAATTACTGGTGCTGCGTTTTTCGCACGCCAGTAAAGTCAGTAAAGCCCGCTGCAGACGATGCTATTTTTCCTGCTGGATTGCTTGCAATTTAGTAAATTACTAGGAATCCTGAATGCTGAGTGGTGCAATGATAGTAATTTACTAAATCGCAAGCAATCCAGCAGGAAAAATAGCATCGTCTGCAGCGGGCTTAAGGCTGGGTCTACATTGGATGTCGTAAGTCGAATAATGAACTGTGATTGGTCAATTTCTTCCGACACGACTTACGACATCCAATGTAGACCCAGCCTTACTGACTTTACTGGCGTGCGAAAAACGCAGCACCAGTAATTTTCATTGCTACCAACTATACTGTT